TTGAGGAAGACTATAGAAAGTGGCGAGATCCCCCATGCTCATGGATTGGTAGAATCAACATAGTAAAAATGTCTATAGTCCCAAAAGTAATCTACATGTTTAATGCAATTCCCATCAAAATTCCAATGACATTCATTAAAGAGATCGAAAAATCTACCGTTAAATTTATATGGAAACACAAGAGGCCACAAATAGCCAAGGCAATACTCAGTCAAAAGAACAATGCTGGAGGTATCACGATACCTGACTTCAAACTATATTACAAAGCAATAATGATAAAAACAGCATGGTACTGGCACAAAAACAGACATGAAGACCAGTGGAACAGAATAGAGGACCCAGATATGAAGCCACACAACTATAACCAACTTGTCTTTGACAAAGGAGCTAAAAATATACGATGGAGAAATAGCAGCCTCTTCAACAAAAACTGCTGGGAAAACTGGTTAGCAGTCTGCAAAAAACTGAAACTAGATCCATGTATATCACCCTATACCAAGATTAACTCAAAATGGATCAAGGATCTTAATATCAGACCCCAAACTCTAAAGTTGATACAGGAAAGAGTAGGAAATACTCTGGAGTTAGTAGGTATAGGTAAGAACTTTCTCAATGAAACCCCAGCAGCACAGCAACTAAGAGATAGCATAGATAAATGGGACCTCATAAAACTAAAAAGCTTCTGTTCATCAAAAGAAATGGTCTCTAAACTGAAGAGAACACCCACAGAGTGGGAGAAAATATTTGCCAGCTACACATCAGACAAAGGACTGATAACCAGAATATATAGGGAACTTAAAAAACTAAATTCTCCCAAAACTAATGAACCAATAAAGAAATGGGCAAGTGAACTAAACAGAACTTTCTCAAAAGAAGAAATTCAAATGGCCAAAAAACACATGAAAAAATGCTCACCATCTCTAGCAATAAAGGAAATGCAAATTAAAACCACACTAAGATTCCACCTCACCCCTGTTAGAATAGCCATCATTAGCAACACCACTAACAACAGGTGTTGGCAAGGATGCAGGGAAAAAGGAACCCTCTTACACTGTTGGTGGGAATGTAAACTAGTACAACCACTCTGGAAAAAAAATTTGGAGGCTACTTAAAAAGCTAACATTGATCTACCATTTGATCCAGCAATACCACTCTTGGGGATATACCCAAAAGACTGTGACACAGGTTACTCCAGAGGCACCTGCACACCCATGTTTATTGCGGCACTATTCACAATAGCCAAGTTATGGAAACAGCCAAGATGCCCCACCACTGACGAATGGATTAAGAAAATGTGGTATCTATACACAATGGAATTTTATGCAGCCATGAAGAAGAACGAAATGTTATCATTTGCTGGTAAATGGATGGAATTGGAGAACATCATTCTGAGTGAGGTTAGCCTGGCCCAAAAGACCAAAAATCGTATGTTCTTCCTCATATGTGGACATTAGATCAAGGGCAAACAAGGGGACTGGACTTTGAGCACATGATAAAATCGAGAGCACACCAGGGAGGGGTGAGGATAGGTAAGACACCTAAAAAAATTAGCTAGCATTTGTTGCCCTTAACGCAGAGAAACTAAAGCAGATACCTTAAAAGCAACTGAGGCCAATAGGAAAAGGGGACCAGGATCTAGAGAAAAGGTTAGATCAAGAATTAGAAGGTAACACACACGCACAGGAAATTAACGTGAGTCAACTCCCTGTATAGCTATCCTTATCTCAACCAGGAACACTTGTTCCTTCCTATTATTGCTTATACTCTCTCTTCAACAAAATTAGAGATAAGGGCAAAATAGTTTCTGCTGGGTATTGAGGGGGTGGGGGGTAGAGGGAGGGGGCAGAGTGGGTGGTAAGGGAGGGGGTGGGGGCGGGGGGGGGAGAAATGACCCAAGCCTTGTATGCACATATGAATAATAAAACAAATAAAAAAAAAAGGGTATCACTGTGGTTTTGAATGCATCCTCCAAAAGTGTAACGTTGGAAGTTTAACTCCTGTACACACGGTGTTGTGGGGTGGGGTCTAGGAGGAGGTATTTGGATCATGGAAGCAGAGGCCTTACCTATGCATTAATGCCTTTCTCCTGAGTTCTAACCTGGCCAGACTGGGGAGACTGCCCCTTGTGTTTGCCTTCTTCCTGGAAGCTGACACCATGCTCTTGGATGTTCTAACCTCCAGAACTATGATCCAAAATAAACTTTTTTTCTATAAATTATCCAGTCTCAAGAATTTTGTTACAACAACAAAAAACAGACTAAGACAGACCGTGTAAGCCAACACAACTCTGAGAGACCAATGCTTACTACTGAACTAATGTAGTTGGCCCCAAACCACCTTCATCACTGATCTGAATACTCCATCACTGTACAAAATCACTCCCGGAGAAAACTTTCAAAAATTACTAATTAAGATTTTGTTAAAAGGCCAGATATTTCTTAGCAGGCCTGATATTTTATTATAAGAAGTCACACTCTTTTTCAGACCTTTCACTCCTTTCTGTTTCCTTATAATGTATTTGGTTACTCCAAGGTCAGCTACCAGGCACCATCCACAGGCCTCCCTCATAGCCAATTTAATTGCAAAGAGTGAGCATATATATATATGCTTTGTGATCCTCAGAACCCTCAGTTATGAAACATAATAAAACAAACAAAAAATTAAATTCTTTCAGCTGATTTTTTTAAGGCAGACAAAAAAGGACTTTCAGCCTCTTATCTACTCTTTTCTTCCATTTAAACCTGTACAGGGATCTGTAGTAAGCTTTGGGAAGGCTCAAATTCTATCTCCACCTCTTGACAGCTGTGGGACCTGGGTAAGTCACATAACCTCTCTGAACTCGTTTCCTTATTTGTAAGTGAGACAATAAACAGCACAAGTTTCCAAGTGCAGGCAGAACGACCTGCTGGTACAATTTCTACCTTGTTAACTAGGTATATCCCACCTCTTCCCTGGGTTCGCCCTTTTTCCGGACTCACAGAGACCTTGCTCTCTCAGGTGTCTTGTAAGTACAGTTACTATGTCTAAGTTGCCTCCCTACTCCAAGCGCCTCTGGCTTCCCTTTGGAAGGAAGCTCACCGATTGCAGAGGAAACGGGACTGAGTCACCAGTCTGCAGGGGTTGAGACGCGCGCCCAGATCCCGCCTGCGGGTGGTGGCTGGGGCGTCCGCCTAGCTGGCCGGGCCGGCGCAGCCGTGCGTGCGCCGCGGAGGGTGGTGGCGGCAGTCACCCCGCCCTTGGCCGCCGGCTCGGCGAGTCAGGTGCCGTGAGAAGCGCGGGAGGGGCGCCCAGGGAGATGACTGGAGCCGACTTCCCAGAAGCAGCGCACGCAAGGCACAGCTCCGCACGCAAGGGGGAGGCGACAGCAGAAGAAACTTTTCAACCCGATAAAGTCCGCAGGCACGCTGAGAGTTGTCTCCTCCTCCCACTCACCGCCCCCGCTAGAGTCCCTAGCTCCAGGAATCCTCTGAGCGCTAAGTCCCCGCCTCCCGGCCTGCGGTATTCGCCCCAGCTTGGCTCCCAGCCCAGCGCCCCAGCCTGGGTGTAGCCAGGGTCTAGCGCGCTCCAGGTGGCAGTGCCACTCTGAGCTGTTTCGATGCCGGAAACCTCAGGGCCCGCGCGCCCCGAGAGTGCTGGCCTTTGTGTGTCCAAGGATGGTTCAGGGTGCAGGCGGGAGAGCTACTTCTTTTAGGATGTCCTGATCTGGCCACAGGAGGTGGAAAGAGAACTTTGCCTACCAAAGGGCCACCACGAAGGGGCCAAATTGCTTGCTTCAGAGAGTTTAAGATAGAAAATGAATACAATAACGAGGCAAACTGCCGCCACTACCCGAGTCACCCTTTGGACAGGTTCCCTTTCTCGGCTTGAGCGCCGAAGGATCTCAGGAACAGTTTTCTCTGGGGGACCAAGTTCAAATCACGGGGAAGAAAAGGAGGTCGTGCTCTCTGGGCTGGGGTGCGATGGGACCTAAAGCACAGGGGCATGGGCAGGTTCTGTCCCCAGCGCGTTCTGGGGGTAACCGTGAGGCCCCAGATGGGGATGACTGCGATTAAAGGTCATCGAAAAGTTCATTCTGCCGCTTCTAGTAGAGCCGTCGGACGCGCGCCTGCGCAGTCTAGTTGAACGACCCTGGGCAACCCCCGCGAGCCGACCCGAGTCCGAGTCCGAGATCCTGCCGTGTGGACTGTGGCGGCGCGCCCCGCCCCCCGCAAGCCCCGCCCCCCGCCAGGTCCCCCTTCCTCCACTTTCTACACAGTCCTTAAAACCCGCAGAAGCGGTGTGGTGCGTGTGGTCTCTGCAGTGGGTGCAAATGCCTCTGCGACGCCAGCTGTGAGAGCGGCCCGCGGGCTGGGAATTGACTTCTCTCCATCCTAACACTATAAGAAAACCTTGACTTTCCTAGAGTCCCAGGTGCAGCCGGGCTCGACAAACGAGGAACTTTTCTTCGTCTCCATCCTAATCCAAGCGCTCTTGGTTTTGACCACGCCAAGAGCGGGCGCTAAGCACCTGCAAGGCAGCACCTGCAGGGCGGCCCTACAAGGTTCCTTGAGGCTCTCAGGTTGAATTGTTGCCCTGGCAAAGGTCTTTCTTGGAGCTGGCTGTTCTACACCGCTGGAAACCACGCCTCTCCGCAGGTCAGTCTGTCCGCGCCTCCCCGAGGCGTCTTCAGATGGGTTCTTACAGGTCAGGGGTGGGGCTGAGGTACTTCTAAGGAAACCAAGTGCCACTGCCTCTGTGCCTGCGATGTTGTGCCGGAATTACAGGAACCGTTACGCAGCTAGGGATGCAGAGGCTGGCTCTGGGTCAGGGCTGCGGAAGTGCGCCCCCTTCCCTCTCCACTGGAGGCTGGGTTGGGGATGCGAAGGGGTGTCTAACTCCACCTGCGCACAGTATTCTCTCCACTCAGCGGTGCACGCAACCCCAGGCTGGGCTTGGGTATGGGGAGTCCGTTCTTTTCTCTGCACACCTGAGCGACATACCTTTGCCTTTCTGTCCCCAGCATGGCCACTGGCCTCAGCCCGGACGATTCGCAGCAACTGAGCCCGCTGTCCACCGAGCAGACCACGCTCCTGCTACTCTTCTCGGTACTGGCCGCTGTGCACGTGGGCCAGTGGCTGTTGAGGCAGCGGCGGCGACAGCCCTGGTCCACACCCCCGGGCCCCTTCCCATGGCCGCTGATCGGAAACGCGGCGTCTGTGGGCTCCCCATCGCACCTATCATTTGCGCGCCTGGCTAAGCGCTATGGCGACGTCTTCCAGATCCGTCTAGGCAGCTGTCCCGTGGTGGTGCTGAATGGCGAGAGTGCCATCCACCAGGCCCTGGTGCAGCAGGGTGCTGTCTTCGCTGACCGGCCGCCCTTCGCCTCCTTCCGCGTGGTGTCTGACGGCCGCAGCCTGGCCTTCGGTCATTACTCGGAGCAATGGAAGGCTCAGAGGCGTGCAGCGTATACCATAATGCGCGCCTTTTCCACGCGCCAGCCACGCAGCCGCCTCATCCTCGAGGGCCACGTGCGGGGCGAGGCGCGCGAGTTGGTAGCCGTGCTAGTGCGCGGCAGCGAAGGTGGCACCTTCCTGGACCCGACGCAGTCGATCATTGTGGCGGTGGCCAACGTCATGAGCGCGGTGTGTTTCGGCTGCCGCTACAACCACAACGACGCGGAATTCCTGGAGCTGCTCAGCCACAACGAGGAATTCGGGCGCACTGTGGGCGCCGGCAGCTTGGTGGACGTGCTGCCCTGGCTGCAGCTCTTCCCCAACCCGGTGCGCACCACCTTTCGCGAGTTCCAGCAGCTCAACCGTAACTTCAGCAACTTTGTGCTTGACAAGTTCCAGCAGCACCGCGAAAGCCTCCTGACCCGGGCTGCCCCCAGTGACATGATGGACGCCTTCATCCTCTCCGCGGAAAAGAAGGCAGCCGAGGGCTCTGGCGATGGTCGCACGCGGCTGGACTTGGAGAACGTGCCAGCCACTATCACCGACATATTTGGCGCCAGTCAGGACACCCTCTCCACTGCGCTGTTGTGGCTGCTTATTCTCTTTACCAGGTAAAGCCACCAGGAGGTATGGGTTGTGTCTTTTTTCCCTTTTAAAAAAAGAGTGAGACTTGTGGTCCCTGGCAGCCCTCAGGGTTAGAGGTTTCCCTCCAGATCCCCACCCCTCAAAACTGAGGTTTCTTCGGGAAAGCTGCTCCCAGGTTTGCAAAGCTCAGAGGTGAGCCGCGCGCGCTCACTCCCATCTAGCGCTGCCAGGACCTCTCCGTACCCTGGATCTCGCATCTCTTCTCTGCCTACTCCTCCCTCGCCTTAAGTGGGGACTAATTTGTGAAACACCCTCCCTACCCCAGCCACAAAATCAGGATTTTACAGTTCCCGCAGGTCAGTTCTCATATCTGTCCGTGGAGCAATAGAAGCAAAATTGGAACGGTTTCAGGAGAAACGGAAACGCAGTAAATGTGTTAAATAAACGGAGGGGAGTAATTGGCACGGGTCGGAGGCCGCCCAACCCTGGCGTTAAAAGTGAGCCTGAGGGTCAGGGCTTTGTCCCCGGGGAAAGTGAGCCCGTTCAGAAGGCGGCCAGAACCCGTGAGCAGTGTTGGGTTCATAAAACCGCCTCAAAACGAATAAGAAATAACAGCACCAGTAGTCACTTCTGTCCAGCATCTAGGGGGAATACTGGATGTTCCGGAGGCGTCTGTGAGCCTCTCTGGCCCCTCCACAAGCCTCCCAATGCCCACCTTGATAAGGGCTCCAACCTCTACCGCTCTGCGGACAGGCACAGGTTAAACGGCCCCGGTGTCAGCTGCCAGACTCAGCAAATAAAAAATAAGCTCTGGGTGGGAATTTACCTTCAAAGATTAGCAGTTGTTTATCTGAAATTCAGATTTAACAGGGCAGCCTGTTATTTGGAAACACTTCCCGCGCTCAAGAGCAATCTCAATGGCTTGAGAGACCAGAAAGCCTGGGTGTGCTATTTCTTGTCTTAAAAAGTAAGCAGTCAGGGACACAGAATGTGCAGACTCCCAGGGATTTGGAAGGCACAGAGGGTTTCTTTTGTTATTGGAATCTGTCCTTACCTATTGTACAGTTTTCACAAATTGAATTTTTTATATAAAACAGATTTTCTGTGTTAAGATAGTAGAAATATGTATTGGGAAGCAGAACTAGAATAAAGAAAAGTGAACAAAGGGAAAAAAGGCCACTCCAGAATGAGGTAAGCAGGTCTTCTGTATCCCCAGATGACCACGTAGGCTTTCTTCTTTATTAGGACAGAATTTAAATAGCTCTCCATGTAATCCAACTGAGCAGCAAAAGGAAATAAAACAATTTTGGGGTCACTTTCAATTCAATAAAGCCAATAAATACTTTTTTTTTCTTGAAAAGACAATATGGCAGGGGCTGGCAAATTTTAATACCCCGTTTTGGATATAAATTTTACTGAAACACAGTTGTGTCCGTTCATTTCTGTATTGTCTATATTTCCTTTCACACTAGGAGACAAAATGGAAGATGCAACAGGAATGATTTGGTCCACACAGTCTAAAATATTTACTATCTGTTCCTTTATGACAAAAGTTGGTAGATCTTTGCAATATAATGTCCAAGAAGTGATTTATATCACCCATAATTTCATCACTTCACATGTTTTATTATTTTCATAGTTACAATTCTTGTGTGTTTTTGACTTCTGAACCTCCTACTTATATAGTGAACATTTCCCATGCTTTCATGTTGGTTTTAGTAATCTCAGTGACTACATCATATCTTGTCTTAATAATGTAAGATGCGTGTAATCGTTTCTTGAGCTTTAACATTTAAAAATTTTAGCACCAGGCATGGGGGCACACACCCCTAAATCCCAGCATTTGAGAGGCTGAGGCAGGAGGATCTAGAGTTTGAGGCCAACCTGGATTACATAGTGAGACCTGTCTCAAAAACAAAAATGACAAAAAAAATTGGCTAATGTTGTGGTTATATATTAATGTACATATTAAATTATTTTTCTGAAAATACATTTCTAGGCATGAATTACTGAATTTTTTTTAAAAAGGGGGGGCCAAGAAGGTACCCATATGGAGGTTGCTTTGTACTAAGATTTTGTTTTCCAAAAGGATTTTACCAGTATATATCAGCTACAGTACACAATGTTACAATTTGTACTGCAATCTTACAAACATTGAGAATTTGCTTTTCAGCCTAGAAGATAAGTAACTTTATCTATGGAGATACAAATAATATTTTATAAAATAAGAACGAGGCATGGTGCAGGGAAAGGATCTGCATTAAAGGCTGCATTTTAGCTTTTGTGTGTCTTGGGTATTTTTGCCTTTGCAGACTCCCTACTCTATAAGCAAATTAAAAATTAGATTTTATGACTACATTGCTATAAAATGAATACATTAAAATTATGTATTAGAATTTCTACCTAAAAGTTCACTTTTTGGATCTGAAGATTTTAAAAGATGTGAAAATATTTTTTGTGGGCCCCTAAAAAGTATTGTGGATCAGGCACTGTGCCTAATGGATAAGCTGGCTTGGCCATTATGGTGCATTTTTCAGACCAAGAAAATGTAAGAGTTTTTTGACTTATGATGGGAAAGAAAGCTTTCAGCCATATAAGATTTATTACAGAAAATACAATTGTTAAAGTCCATCTGGTATTTTAGAGAGAAATTAGTAACCTGTTACAATTTTTTTCCAGAAATACTAATTCAGTCATTGCCCTAGATAGCCTGTTGAAAGAAACGTGGAATTAAAATAAATGATAATATGTTTCTAGATGAAAGAATTAATTTTGCTTCTTCATTTTTTTTCTCCCTCTGCATTAAAATCCAAACAGATACCCTGATGTGCAAGCTCGAGTACAGGCTGAATTGGACCAGGTTGTGGGGAGGGACCGCCTGCCCTGCATGGATGACCAGCCCAGTCTCCCGTATGTAATGGCCTTTCTTTATGAAAGCATGAGATTCTCCAGCTTCCTGCCTGTCACCATTCCTCATGCTACCACGGCCAACACTTTTGTCTTGGGCTACTACATCCCCAAGAACACGGTGATTTTTGTTAACCAGTGGTCTGTGAATCATGACCCCGTGAAGTGGCCTAACCCAGAGGAGGATTCTTGGACAAGGATTTTTCAGTGGGCAAACGGCGGTGCGTTGGCGAAGAGCTTTCTAAAATGTTGATGTTTCTCTTCATCTCCATCCTGGCTCACCAGTGCAATTTCAAGGCCAACCAAAATGAGCCCTCGAAAATGAGTTTCAGTTATGGCCTGACTATTAAGCCCAAATCATTTAAAATCCATGTCACTCTCAGGAGTCCATGGAGCTACTTGATAATGCTGTTCAAAAGTTGCAAGCCAAGGAAGCTTGCCAGTAGAAGGTTTTAGAAGTTCTGCAGTGTTATCGGATGGAGGAAAATTCATTTTTTTTTTTTTTCCTGGTTTCTCTTTGGTACCACTTCTTTTTTTTTTTTTCTTTTTCTTTTTTTTCATTTTTCTTTTTTTTCTTTTTCTTTTTTTTCATTTTTCTTTTATTATTCATATGTGCATACAAGGATTGGTTCATTTCTCCCCACTGCCCCCACCCCTGGTGGGGCTTCTTGATTAGCCTCTAAGGTGAGCATAAACCAAGTGGCCTGTGGGTGAGGTGTGCTCCATGCTGTGTGACTTCTGTGGCCCCTAAGCTGTGCAGGAGCTCCTGAAAGAGTTTTTGAGTCAGAGATAAGGGCTTAAGGAATTGTTATATATGTACTGGATTCTGATAAAATTTCTTAAGGGAGCATGTTGTTAAAATACACACATACATACTCACGTGCACGCACAATTAATGAAGTATTTTAATAACTGTGACTTTTTTAGGTGGATCCAAGGTTGAACTTCTAAATATAGATATCTACTCCATAGAAAACTGTATGAAGCTAAGTTTTAGGATATTTTGAAGATGAAAAGGAAATTAATTTCAGTTAAGATGTGACTCAGGGTGATAAAGGAAAAGATAAATCCAGAAATCCCCTTACTTACCTTTTCAGTAAAATACCTTAAATTGACTGCATTGTCTTTGGTGGGTTTATCTTTTTGCTTACTGATCTTCTCTTTAGGGCAAATCATAAAATCACTTGCTCAAGAAGAAATTAATAGTTGAATTAATGATTATATTGAGTTTCAGAGATTTATCATGAACTTCAAAGTGTAAATTATATACACTGCAAAATTCAAAGCTGAAGTTGTACCTCATTTGGTTGCCAAAGTACAGTATTACAGTTATGAGAAAGAAAAAAGATTTGCCAGTCCAGCTAAGCGTTCAGTTATGCAATTGTAATGTGTTGATCTCAGTCAGTCTCATAGGCTAAAAGAAACCCATGTCACCAAATAGTGTTCAATAATATATATATATATATATATATATATATATATATATATGCACAAGTATCCACAAGCAGTATGTTAGCATTAATTATTTTGGTCAGGAAAACTATTTTTGACATTATGAAAACCAAGTCAAAGAAAAATCTCTTTTTTTCATCCAAGTTTTGGACAATGGACAAATCTCAAAAAATAAATCAGTAAGATGTATTCTTTAAACATTTTTATTAAAAACGTACTCTAATACAGTTTATTTTTTTGAAAATGATCCAATCAATATGTTAAAATTCCAAGGTCTTGGCATGCTTAAATTTTAATTTAATTTCAAATCCATCCTGATTATTGAGTTCCAGTTGAAGCAAAAATCTGGCTATTATCCTGTGGTACTTTTGGTACCTGGGAAGGGATAAAGCTTGAACAAAATATATGCATTTGAATTATGTAAATAGCCTGAAAACTTCTTAAAAAGTGATGGAAGACTGCAAAAATACAAAGGCATCCTTTTTTACAGTCTTTTTTTTTTTTGAAACTAAACTTCCCAAAGGAAGTGTCCTTAGAGCTTACTGTTTGCTCTAATTTATGAAGCTTTTTGGAATTTTTGTATTAAAATTACAAAGAAGGAAGGGTATAATGGTTATATGTGTGTGTGTGTGTGTGTGTGTGTGGTTGGAGAAAAGAGAGAAAGAATGAAAAGGAATAAAGATAACTAAATAATTTCCCACTCATTCCAAATTAATTTAACTAAAGCACAAAATTTGAATTATGAACATTTAGAAAAAAGATGTTGACATGCCAGTGTTAGTCTCAAGTAGTTTTTTTTAAAGCAGTTCTATTTTGTAGTTTGGAATATTGTATTACTAAATATATTTCATGTACTTTTTATTTGGAAAATTTCATAACTGTACCTCTTGAGTATGAAAAATTGTTTGTGTCCTTATGTTAAAGGCACTAAAGTCAACTACAAAAATCAGGCTTGCCTAATAATTTTAAGCTCTTTGGACATTGGCAAATGTTATGCACCAGCACAGCTGAGACAGTGAGTTTGGGCTCTAATGGCCTGTTTACTCTGAGAGGTGTGTAATAGCAAAAATAATCCTGAACCGATTTGGACACCTCATTAACTCAACCAGGTCCAGATGTGCCAACTGGGTCCAAACTGGTTTTATGAATGTAGGTTGGGTTGTCACCTGATGATTGCAGCGAGGGAAAAGTAAGATGGGTCTTGGAGTTTACCTGACTTATTTAATATGTTGAAAACCTAGTGAAAGGAAGGAAAATAAAACCAAAAATGAGCAAAAATAACCAAATTTGGAGGCTAGAGTAGTCAGATGACTGCTTCATCAGAAAGCTTCATTATTTCTGCTAGACATAGACTGTATTTGCTGATCACTATTAAAGTCACAACATCTACTTCAGGTTATTGCAACAATTAATGTATTTTTTTAAAAATCAAATGCCTCATTTATTGAAGCTTTGACTATGTAAAAAATTGCTTTTTTTCCAAAACAAAAAAAAAGTCTCAGGTGTGTTTTTGTGGATTATCTGAAAGCTTCCGTGTCCCAGAACTTAGCCTTTATCTGTGAAATAGTACTGCACCTTTCATGTTTTCATACTAGATCTATATTAGATCAAATAGTTGCATAGCAGTATATGTTAATTTGTATGTTTTTAGCTGTGACACGACTGTGTGATAAAAAGTATACTTCAGTAGATGATCGTAACTCATTAATTTCTTTTTAATCTTTTCATATTTTTGTACTTTATATGCTTTTAGTGTGTACACAGCAGCTATAGTAGATAGTTGTAACCAAAACAGATCCTTGGGGACACAGCATTAATACATAGCTTTTTTTGTTTGATATACCAAATTTTAAAAAATCTGTACCAGTGATTATCTATAATGGGACACCATTACTAAAATAATAAAAATTACTTTCATAATCTTGTGAAGTTTCATTTTATGTTGTGTAAATAAAGTCAAATTCACCCATTTATTTCTACTGTTACTATGTTTCTTTTCGTTAAAATACTGCAGCAGAAACGCGAGGATTGGATTTTCACGCCACTGTGTGAGACGTGCCTTGTGTGAGATATGTCAAACCTTGTGACAACATCAGCACATTACCCACCTGACCGGAAAAATACTAAAAGAAAACATTTTCCTTATAATCATTTTACTTGGCCATTCTATATTTTAGTGTGTTTTCTCCTTTTATTTTTTCCTTTGTTTTTCAGCATCCAATTTTCTACCAGATTCCTGATTTCTATATTTTTGAATTTATACATATTAAAAAGATATGTATAAATTTCAATGGCAAACAACCAAGCACAATAAGAATTCATTTTGAAAGATTGGGTTGAGACTTAAGATGCTGACCTAATATTTCTGCTTCATCTGAAAAATGCAGGTCACATTTTTTTCCTCCTCAGCAGTACACTAATCTTTTCTCCGAGTAATTCATTCATTTTAAGTTACATGTGCCTTAATTAATAAGTCCAATTAATATTCAATAAAATAGAATGAATGAGAAAATTCTGTAGTATACTGTGTGGAAGTATTTTTCTGCCAAACTTTTTACTTGGTAAAAAGTAACTTGATGTCACAGGACCCATGCTATGGGTTTCTACTGCCCCACATTCACAGATGGTAGGGTTGTGTAGTGCCAAAGGCTCTTATTTTTTCCTAGATATTAGCTCCTGTTACCAAGAAAACAGGAAAAGAAGCAGAGAAGTAAAAAAGAAATTAAACTCAATAGCATTGATACTTTGACTTAGGAATATCAGTTTAGCAGCCAGAAGGGATGGTTTCAGAGAATATGCGTTTATTTTCTACATGGACTACAAAAGGATCTTGAAAAAGGTTAAAAATTGAGGACAAGTGAAGAAAATACTTGGGGAAAAATTTCTTTAAAAATCTAACTTGGGGCAGGTTTTTGCAAGGGTTAAGCAGGGTTGCATTTTACCCAGTCCATCCAGTAGAGTGTAAGGTTGGATGCTGGTAGGGAGTGAATGCAGCTTTGGACATCAAATAGGTGTGAGCGTTGGAAACTCACAAAGGTCATATCCAAGGTCATTTTAAAGCCAGGCCACCTTTCCGAATAAGTGCTACAGAAGCCAACTGACCATGAGCGCTCCCATATTTTGGCTCAGTGGCGCTCTGCCTTCCAGTTTGGTCTCAACTTAGTTATCCATCTCAGAAAAGGGAGAAAAATGAAGGAAAAAACAATTGAATACATTTAAACACATTCCAAAGCAAATCTTTTAAAGATGCGATTTTGGAGAAAAATAGCTATGGGCAAACTATAGGTAATTGCTCATGCTTGCCAACCCTTTTTTTTTTTGCTAACCTACATGCAGCTTGGAGGAAGAATGGTGCGGTCTTCATTAATACTTTTCACTGGGTGTCAGGTAAGACGGGAAGAAATATGTTAAGTACTTATGATTTTTGTATAACAATCTTGTGAGAGAGGCAGAAAGATGCTAAATTAATCATTTAGAAGCATCCATTATTAATGTATGATAAAAAAAACATGAAGAAGAAGCATGAGGATTTTTCCCTAGAGATAAACTGAATTGGAAGCCCATTGTCTTGGTGCCATAGCTTCACCCATATGACATAAATAACACACCAGGTGACAGCAGAAACCTACCATCCACAGGAAACACTGTCCAAGTCTGAAAAATCAGCCTTTTTATTTTCAATTCTGTTTTTAATTACTGTTTGCCTACTTTTGTCTCTGTCTCTCAGTGGACAACCATTACAGTGTGCTTAATCCGTACTCTTTGTGTGCTACAGAAAAATTTGTATTATTGCTTTGCATACACATGATTTTAGTTTATATAATTGTTGTACCTATTGCATTCTGTGGCTTAAAATTTTCTTGGTATAATACCGTGTGTGTGTGTGTGTGTGTGTGTGTGTGTGTGTGTGTGTGTTAGTGGGGATTGAACCTAGGGCCTGGCATATTCTCTACCACTTGAGCCACTGCCCTAGCCCTTAGTATAATATCTCAAA